ATTGGTTGGACGCGATCCTAGAGGTTATTACTTCTAGGTAATATTGATATATTGATATTGATCCTATGAAATTAAAATTGCAGCTAGGAATAAGCACAGGTGGGCAATTTCAAAATGGTGACATACCATTGGTTGTGTTTTCTTGTTAAGAAGTAATGTGCTGTGCTTGTGATTTATAATATGGTGGCCACATAACTATGCTTGTGATTTTGGGGTCTGGTGTTGAATATAGTCCTGCGTAGTAGGAACAGTTAAAACAAGGACTTACAAATGATGGAAAAAGCAACCCAGTATGATATGGATCATCTCTAAAACTCTGAGTAGTATGGCCAAAACCAGTCAAGCAGGATAATGCTGACATTCATGGTAAAGTTCACCTTGTTTGAGAGGTATGAGTCATGTCATACACTTGTAGAGAATTTGGTAGCAGAGTAATTGTTCATGAGCTAGACCATGTGCCTTTTTGTTCTGTTTCTACTGGCTTCAAGTGCTTTTACTCTATCTTGCATCTAAGTTGTGCTTTTGGCAGAAAAGCAACTAGCCTGTCTGCTGTGCTGCAAGCAGAACAATCTTGTGTATATTTGTGGAAGAAAAGTATGTTATGCTCAAGTCCTTTAAGAAGAAGAATAAAAAAAAAATCTTCCATTTTTATTTTTTTCCCCCAAAGCTATTCAAGTTTTGTCTCAGCTATGCCAACCTGTCACTGCAGCTGTCAGTGTGATGCCTTTTTTCAAAGCACAAAGATGTCTCAGCTGAAAGCAGTGCTTCCAGTCAAGGAGAAATGTCCATGCAGGGAGCAGGAGCTGTAAGTCTGACTGCACAGTACATTGTCAGCTTAGTATAATACTTAATGTATAGGTAAGGATTGGGATAGAGGGAAGTGAGTGAGGAATGGGGAGAACAGGATTGCTCAATTCACTGCAATCAGTAATATCCACACTTCTGGTGATTGGTTTGGTTTTACTTTGCATCTTGGAAGAGCTGGTTAAGTGTAATTTACTTGGTAAAATATACATCAGTGTCTTTGTCAAGACTGTGGAGGAGGTCAAAGTGCAGAGTTAGGAATAAAGTCATTATCTTTCAGAAAGCTATTACTTCTCACCCAGTCTCAAGCCTAGATGAAGAGACTATATACATCTGTGTGGGTATGCAGATTAAGAGATAAGAGGCAGTTCTGTCTCTAAGACATTCTAGGCAGAGGTTCTCAAGAGAATCTAGGCATGTTTTTGCATGCCTTTGTTAATTTATGTGCTGTTGATGAATCCTGGTTCATAGATTTGTCGATGTTCTCCATTAGAAGTACAGAGATACCTGAGTATGTTCTTTGAGGATCTGGTGAACCAGTGTGACATGTTTTAAAGTCACCATAGATACAGACATGTCATTCTGGAAAGTAAAATCTTTGACTCCTTGTTGATACTGCTCTTGGCCCTTCAGTAACTTCACTGTGGTTACAGGACCGTTGTGATGCTATTGTGTACTCCATGGCTAGCACTATATTTAGGGCTCTCTCCAGTGATTGCAAACTGTCTTCTCAACTTTGCATGATTGAAATCTCCTGCTTTAAAGCATGAGCTACGAACAGGGCCCAGCTAATGAAATAATCTCCATTTCCTGCACTTTAATGCAGTTTTGCAGCTCAGGAGGTTAGTGTTTTTCTAATTACCATATATCAGAGAGATGGGAGCAAAACATTTGTATTAAATCATATTTCTTATTAAAAAAACTCCAACAAAACAAATACCACCCCACTCCAAGAGAGAAAAAAACCAAAAACCTAAAAATACAAGTTGTAACAAGAAGTGCTGTCCCACACAGAATCACATGCAGAGATATGAACAGGAGGAACAAAGAAAACAAATAAATGCACTGATTATATTAGTTGTGAGTGAGTGCTTATAGTCACTATATCCATCTGAAACTACTGCACTGTGAATTTTTTCATGCCCATCTGTCTGAACAGGATAAATTCCCGAGTTTCAGAAAATCACTTTGATAGTTTAATTTAGTTTTTCCAATCAGTAAAGAATACGGTAAGCACAGTGTTGAAATGAACCCTGAATGATGTACTGGCTTGAAAACTAATTCTTTACAGGCTCTGTAGCAGGGCCAGTCAGGAAAGGACCACATCATTCAAAGGAGTAGCTTTAAATGCTCAGACTTTTGCTGTGGAAGGGATGATGGACCAAGTGATAACCCAAGGATCAGGATTAGGTAGGAAGCTAACAAATAGAAGCATTGCGGTGAGTGTCCATTTTCTGGGCCTCCAGAATGTTTTGTCAAGGCTCACAAAGGACAGAGGGAGGTGATTAAAAAGAGGGAGGTCAGTTTAAAAATGTCTACAAATGTTTGGATTTTACATTGCCAACCTAACATCTTTCTGTGATGGGAAATCCACTAGCTCTGTGGATGAGGGAAAATCAGTAGATGTCATTTGCCTGTATTTTAACGAAGTTTTCAGCACAAATTCTCTTTCATAGCCAAATGAGAGAGAAATTAAATGGATGGGTGTACTAGAAGATGAGTGGGATCCGGGTTAGACCACCAGACCCAAAGAGCAGTGGTCAGCAGTTCATAGTTCAGTTACTGATGGCAAGTTCTTTGTGGTGCTCATAGAGAGTTGACAGAGGTGCTAATGCTGTTTAACATCTTCATTAATAACCAGAATGATTATATAGAGAGCATTGTCAGCAAGGTTTGAGGTAACACCAGACTGGGAGGAGTGGATGATACGTGGACTGTTCCCTGCTCTTCAGAGGAATATCAATAGGAAGGAGAAATGGGATGGGAGGAACCTCACGAAGTTCAGTGAAAACATACAGGAGTTCCCCATGACAGAATAAAACGTGGAGCAGTCCCAGGCAGGCACAGTCTGGCTAAGCTGCAGCTTTGTAGAGAGGAGAACAAGTTGCACGTGAGCCAGCCATTGCAGCAGTGAGGGGGAATGGCAAACTGCGCTGCACTACCCAGCCAGGGGCAGCAGGGTGAGAGACATCTCATCCCCTGTCAGGCTGCACCAGGAGTACTCTGTCCAGCCCAAGTGTTCCCACATTTGTTTCTGATTTCTTTAGCTTTACTTCGGGAAAATCTGATACAGATAAAAGGCTTTGTTCTTCAACGGGTTAAAGAGGTTTGGGGAAATGCTTTGGAAAATGACTTCTGAAAGATTTTTGTTTTATTTTAGTAGATACTATTTTTTCGATCACCAGTGGAAAGATGTTTTTATTCTGAAAATTGCAAACTTTGTTTGTAGTTGGTAATAAACCAACACAGTAGGTAAAAATTAAAGGGAGATAAAATCAATACTGTAAGAAATTCCCAAGCTTATTCTTCCTGTAGCAAAGGTAGCACTTTTTAAGTGTATTGAGCTAACTATTAACGTAAAAACTATGATTCTAAAAAGGAAAGGATTTGTTTTACCTTTAATGATAATGCATATTCCATATGCCTAAAGTTCAAAATATTATAATCATATAGCTTTCAGCTTTTACCTGTCACTTCAGTGTGTCCAGTGTTTTGGGAGTATGTTATGAGAATAACAGAGTATGGGCATATAATATCTTTTCAGATACGAAGCATTTTAATGTAAAATAATACCTTACCATGACAACTGGTCCATACCATGAAATGCAAACACCAAATTGTATGCATTTAATTTTAATTCCTGGCTTACACCATTGTACAGGAATTGTGGCATTCATCAGCAGTTGCTTTTGTCCAGCAACATGAAGTTTCTTTGAACATAGAATTATCCTTGAATGACTGCACAAAAAATGGTGAAAAAAACCCTGTGCTACTCTCATGTTATTTGAATTATTGCACTGATGTCACATTCTTAATTTGGGTTGTTAGGTTTTGAAATCCCATGGTAAATATTTGATGACAGGAATAGGATCAGTGTTTTCAGCAGCGCCATGTTCATGCCCACCATGCACAAAGAGACCCTGCAGTCTGTATGAGTTTAAAGTGCAGTCATTCAGTGACAAATATACAGTGTAGATGAATAGATCTAATGAGCTACTGTGCTAAGCATTAGTGTTGTCATCAGCCCAGTACAGTGCCTGAAGAGTCTTTGCTGCCCAAGTAGGCATTAGTAAGGCTGAGAAAGCATGCCTTCCATCTGTTCTTGTACTACACTGACTACATGTTGATCCTTCTGAGTCTTTGATTATTAACAATCCCATCTCGGCAGTCCTGCCTGTTTGGCATTTTAGTGATGGTGCTTGCCTCTGGCTTACATGTTCTCACAACTTTCTGGTTTTTTCCAGACTCTGAGCCAGGTTTATGCAGCTGGGTTATATCAGAGTTTGGCATTGGGTCTGTACCACTGAAGCCCAGAATGGGAAGAGCAGGAGGTTCAGGTGGTTGGAAATTAGCCTGGATATGAGCTTCATCAAGAATTTAAAGATCAGGTTGGGCAGCTTTGCAGATGCACTAGTCTTTTTAAACTGGTCTGTGTTTCAATCTGAACCTCAGCTGAGTGTATGTGAACCATGCCAATTACATACCTTTGACATAAATATCATAATGAATGTGCTTATACATATACCTATACAATACTGCTAAGTAGTGTAAACATTAAATGTTTATCCTTTGTAAAGATCAGTTAGTCATCTTGGTTCAAACATAAAAGGTGGGCTTGTCAGGTAGGGAAGCTGAAACCCTCATCCTCAACATCCCCTAACTGAAAGTTGAATACATCAAGTTTCTTACAGTTCTACTGAAAAAATGAACAACTGGATAATGCATCTGCAGGATGTGGTCCAAAGCCTGAAGAAATTAAAAAGAAAGACCACAGTGAGCTGTGGTTTGGAGGCTGAGAACCTATTTCCTTTATCCTTGATTGAGCAGTACCTACAGTTACATGCTGCTGTATGATTTGAATTCAGTGGGAAAACAGGCTTTTAGACTTCTAACTTTATGTATCAGTATGGGTATTTCAATATAAAAGAATTTCAAGTGTTTAAATTTATTTTCTCTTTTTTTTTATTCTCTTTCAGGCAAGCCCTGCCCCTATAATTGTCAACACAGACACCTTGGACACAATCCCCTATGTAAGTATTAAGGGATTTTTTTAAAAGTATCTACAGCTGGTTTATTTTCACACAGAAATTCTGTTTGGTATTGCATGGAATTAATCCTCTAAACAAATCTTGCCGTTAATAATTTCTTTTGCAGTTACACAGTAAATTCTTTTCTAGGAAAAGAAATTGGGAATGACAGTTACACTCAGGTGAATCATAGCATATTATACACACACAGTTTGTAGTTGAAGTTTATTAAAACTAGCCTTTCTTTGAAAAAAAGTGACTTCATTAAGGCTGTCATCCTCACCAGTGAAATAAGTATTTCCTTTTAGAGTCATGCACATCCTGCTAGCTTAAATGAAAGATACCTGGATGCCCAGTGTATATTAAAATGGTACAATATCCTTTCGTTTGTCTGTCTGTCCTTCTTTTGTAGATGGAAATTGCTCATGATAAATAGCAGGTCAAACTAATCGATTTAATATTTTCCTGTTAATGTCTCTTCTTTTTTATGACTTGTAGGAAACAGATTATCCTAAAATAAATGCATGTTTTTATTAGATTTTTAAAAATCTGTTTTTTCTACAAGCATTTGATATTACTGTCATTCAGACTGTAAAATCAACTATAGCTGGAGATAAAGGACATAGAAAAACACAAAGTAAACACATCACAAAGAGAGTAACAGGCTTAAATGATTGGGGGAAAGAAAAACAAGTAGCACAAAGCTATCTAGCCAACCAGTATCTATTCTTTCTTCTTGCGTCATCTTAGTTATCTTTTTGAAACTCCTAATTAATGTCTCTCATCTGTCGTGTTTTGTCCACATCTGTTTCTTATGATACCAATGCATAAGCCTAATTATTTATCTACCTACTCCAGTCATGTTGCTGGCTTCTGTCTTTCAGAAGACTGTTGATGACAAGTTTAATAGGGGTTGTCCTGGCCAGTTTGTTACTGACAATTCATAAGACTTGGAAATTATGGTGCAGAACACAGGTAAAGATCACAGCCAAGAGCAATTTAGAAGAATGAAAGTGCTCTAAAGCAGAAGAGAATTAAGTCCCTTGATGGGAATATGAACTATTGGAAGGGTGAAAAAGTTAAATAGAATTTCTCTGTTCATTTGCATGCAGCTTTTTTAAACGTCTTTCTATCATTTCTGTCTCAATTTTCCATCCTAACATCAAAACCATCTGCTATGGTCTCACTTTCAATAGGTCTCTTTGGCTTTTCTCCTTTATTTTGATGAGACATTTTACACTTAGTGTTCTCTGTCTTCCACAAGGGACATTGTGAGCCCCAGTTCTCATTTTCAGCACTGGACCTGTGCCCAGGATCCTCCGCAGCTACGGTGTTTGAATTCCTAAATACAGATTCAATTACACTAGTGACAAGATGCTCAATCAATAAGATTTATTCCCTTAACACATTCTATCAATACTTGCACACTTTTGTGCCACTTTTGTACAAAGTTGAGTTCCTTTCTGTTAAATTATAAAGAACAAATGACCAAGCACATTCAAGAGAAATGTTGACAGTGGGCTGAGAAGTGCCTGTGGGCTGTTTCAGTCTCCAACACATGATGTGAAGTGGTACAAATAGACAACTCTGAATTAGTCACCTTGCTCTTCCCAGCCTGGGAAGGAGTTACTTCTCTTAGATATGGGACACAGCAGTGCCACCACTGAGGGACTTGTTTAACACTAGGCACTAAGAAATACTTCACTGTGACCTGTCTGCTGAGCCCAGGCCACTGTAGTGCCCCACAGAACTTGGGGTCTCTGCTTTACAAATAGGCATTTCCTTCTGCTCAGGATTTGTATGCCTGAACATCCTCTCAGATGGGACACAAAAACACGCCATGAACAAATGACCTCTTCCTCCAAACTAGTATTTGAGAGTGTGGGCTGGGAGACCTGTTTTCTTTCTTGCCCTCAGGAGTAATGCAGTTTAATTTAATTTGGCTTCAATTTATATTTCTTCCACAAGGGAGATGCTGTAGTCACTGGGCCAGATCCATGTGTGCATCCCCTCCTGGTCCAGGGATCCTTCCCAGTACAGATTTAGTGACAGCATGTGGTGAAATGACTCTGGCCAATAGGAAAACACTCCTCTCACTCCTCTCTGGTGTGGGTCTGGAAGAAAATAGGAGATAAAATGTAGAGTTGTATATGAAGGCAGTGAGTTAAACAGAGAAAGCAAATGCTGCATGTGCAGGTAAAGCAAAATAAGAAATTCATTCACTACTTCCCATCAGTGGGCAGATGTTTAGCCTTTCCTGGAAAGCAAGGCTTCATGTGTAGCTTGTTATTTGGGAAGATCTGTCATAACCATGAATGTTCTCCCTTGCTCCTCCTTTCCCTGAGCTTTTATTGTAGAACCATGTGATACGGAATATTCCTTTGGTCATGTGGGGTCATCTCTCCTGGCTAGGTCCCCTCCAAACCCTGTATCCACCCCAGCCAACTTGCTACTGGGACAGGAAGGGTAAAATCGAAAGGAGAAAAAGCCTTGATGCTGTGAAAGCTCTCTACAGCAATAAGCAAAATGTTGGCATATTATTATTGTTTCAGCCACACATTGAATTATTGCTTCACGTAAGCTACTATGGAGAATAAACCCCGTCCCAGAAAAACCCAGTACAGCCTGTAGTATTGTGTGGGTCCTGTAATACAGCCTATAACATCATGGGGTGTTAGGGGATCTTTGTCTCTTTTAAGCATTTGGAGATACAGAGACAAATCCTCCAAACTGGATGAGTTAAGTGTATGATGGTGCAGCCATCATCATATAATTTATTTTATAGGAAATGTAATTTAGTCGATATGCCCTAAAATATTTTTTCTGGATGAGGTCAGTTCAGAGAGATAACAAAAAGCTAGATTTAATTATGATTTTGAAACTTGAACATGTGTCAGGCATCTGCATTTTCAGCACTGTTAGGACTTCCAGACATGCCTGGGGGAAGACTGTAAGTGCCTAGGGAACATTTTTCGTGAATGTTGAAGTATCCTTAGAGTTAACTAGCTAGGTATTTGCACTTCTGAAAGGCACTACTGATTTGTAGTTGCCATAAAATAAACATCTAACACTCTGAGAAAAAAATATTTTATTGATCAGAGAAGCCCAGTTAAGTTATTTTCTGTCCAAAGCTAAAAGCAGCCTTGGTGTAAGATGCTGATCCTCTCTCAGAACTGTAGAGTGTTTAAAACACCTAGAAGTGCCATTCCTTGGGGCTACAGTAATCTTAGATTCCTGCTATTCATCCCTGTTTTTCAGTTCCCATTGCCAAAGTACACTTGGAGTCCAGGAAGACTGGACAGGAAGAACAAGAATTTTTCAGATCCTACTAATTGGGTCATGTTTCTAATGTTCATATTCTTTTTTTTTTTTTTTCATACTCTGTCTTTCTCTACTCTTAGATGGTTGTCCTTGAATTCTTTTGTTTGCCTTCCACAAATCTGAGCACCATTTCTAAATCAACTTATTGAAGAGATGATGATCTCATGAAAATTTTTGACATATTATTTTTTAATTTCTGACTGTGATTTTCTAAGATACTTTTCATGACATACCAGTCGTGATACTAGTACTTTTCACAATACTAGTTAATGCTGTCCACTCATGTTTTTCCAAAAAAATTGTGCTGCTAAAAAAACTATATTTTTTTTCTTAAATAATGGTAATTTTAGTTGTATTTACCATAAAAAAGTTAAGTAATCCATTTTGTACCATGTAATAATTATTTTCAAAATTAAGCACTGGAATGAGCATGGATATTCAAATGTTGCTGAATCAAAATGGTATTTTTTTCTGTAATTACTAGCCACAACCGATAACATAAATAAGGTCAGGCTATTTTTAGTGTTGTTACATGCCAGACAGAGACTTCCCAAGATTTCATTAGGCTGTTGGCACAACTTGTGTCACTGTTTCATTTTATAGGATATGCCCTCAATGCATTTCCAATTCATTAATCTCTGCCATCTTTCTCCAGAAATTCCTGAGTGTTTTTGCGAGATACCCCTCACAGTATGGTCAGAATCCACAAAGCATGTTCACATGTTATCTCTGCGCTGGTCCACCTGAAAGAAATCTCCTTTTTACAGTTGATGCACAGCTGGTAAACTGAGTGATTTGTCTCATTAACACCCTAGTGAGTTAAAATCACATAATTAAACATTTTGCAACTGTTGACATTCTTCAAACCTTTCAACTCAATAGTTTGGGGAAAAAAAATCATCCTTTGTGGGGCTGGTTATCATCAGTATGCTTTTCTTAGATGAGATAAAAGGCCTTATTATATTATAGTGCATGTTATTCCTTATAATTTGGGCCTGCAGCAAATGACAGAAGAAACAGTTAATTAAGTTTTTTTCTAGGTTCAGTGGTTTGAAAACTTTGGCTTGCCAAGCTTTGGACGTGGGAATAAATTTGATAGGAAGCTTCGATGGTACAAAACGAATTATTCTGTGACATTTTAAGCACAATTAAACATTTGTGGGAGTTTGTTTGTTCTCTATTCTTTGGCTGTAAATTTTAGATCTCTTTGTATAATGAGAAGCATTAATTTAATAACATATGAATCATCTCATTTTCTCTCTTGCATGGAATAGGTCTTATTTCTTTTTTCATTTCCAAAAAGCTGCATAGTTCAGTTAAAAGTAGCTATAAGGCTGTCTTTGCTGCATCACTTCTAGAAATTGAAGGGGACTTTTCTATTTATCTTATGATGGAATTTTCTTTTCATCTTAACAAAAATATTTAGAACAGTTCACTCAGGTACTGTGAACTTCTCAGGTACTTGTTCCCTTGCTCCCCCATCTTGTCACAGCAATATGATCTAAGCAATATGTACTTTATTCTCCTTTCAGTCACAATGAATTCCTCATATTTCTTCAGTTTCACATTGTTCTTTCAAATTATTATTTTTTATTACTAATATTTTATTATGAGTTATTTTATTATTGCTTTGGTTTACTAACTATATTGCCTATGCTGAGTTCTGTGAAGATACATTTAAG